GAAACGAAATATTCGGAAATAGAAATGTGTCGGTGAATTCTTTTTGCTTCCATTATTTGGTAAATCTAGTTCGTAAATTGTGCAGGACCGGGTTTAGGGGAGGCTACGTGAGCTACAGCCCCGGACCTGGCAAAATGAAGCCAAAAAGTGTTTAGGTTTTCAAATTCTATATCTAAGTCGCTGATGGCGTGACCTTTTTTAGGTTAATCCAGCCCTGAGGTCCTAAAGTCTTACTTTTTCTTAACCTTACATCATGTACGATATTGAACATAATTTTGTCCCGTTTAATCTTCCTTGACCCCCTTTTAGTCCCTTGTACAGGATCAGGACCTCTGTCTGTATACAATATACGCAACATGTATAAACTAATACAAGAAAGCAGCTCCATGCGGTGGTTTACGGTACTAACTCTGCCTGCCACTCGCGTGCCCAATAAATGGCCCTAACATACCCTTTATCTCATGTTTCAGTGAAGCAGATATGCTAATTATACACTAATGGAAAAAATTAAGGGATAAAAAAAAAATTAAATTTTCGGCGATTTTTCAAATGGCTGTATCTTTGATAAAAATTGTCGTATTGGAGTAAAAAAAAAGCAATTTGAAGCTTGAAGCTTCTAATTTTTGGATCTTGCAAAAAAAAATTTCAAGTAACACGTATAATCTTAACGAATATCACGAAAAAATATTTTTCGAAATTCTTTTCGATCTTATTTTTGGTGTACGGACTTGAAAAAAATTTTTCCAACTTAACCACCTTATGGATTAAATAGGTTATTCGTTTAGCTTCAATTTATTTTTTTTTTTGGTCTCGATACGACCATTTCTCGCTGAGCTATCGGACTTTGAATGAAAATGGATCATTTTCTCTTTGCTCATCGATATCTCGGAAACCAATGGTTGCACAGAAAATCGACGGTGGGTTTCAGAAACTTGAATGAATTATCTACAAGGTCCTAGAAAAAAAAAATTTTTATCCTTAACATGACTGAAAAATCGTAAAAAATAGGACTTTTAGGGGTCTTCTCGGTTAGAAGCATTAACTTTTTTAAATTTAGTTAAAATTCGGTCAGCATAATCACGAAATGAAGTAGAGGAATCGTGTCGAAAATGCTTGGGGATTACTGAGATAAATTTTCTGGAGTGACTCCAACGAAAAAATTTTTCAAAAAATTTTCAATTTTTTTTTTTTTTTTTCATAATTTCAAACGCTTTCTGCAATAAGAATGTAAAAAAAAAATCAAGAAAAAAATGTTTTTCATTTTTTTACAGATTATGAGCATTTAAAGGCAAAAAAACGTGATCCTTTAATTTTTTTAAAAATTCAATCGAATGAAACAAAAAAACGGCTTGATGGATCGAATTGAAACTCTGTAGGGCTTTTAGGGGTACAATCACCTGTAAAAGGCACACTTAACATTAGTCATTTTCCCAATATTCTCAATGTGGCACGTGATTTTCTAGAAGACCCCTAAAAGTCCTATTTTTTACGATTTTTCACTCATGTAAGGATAAACAAAAAATTTTTCTAAAAAACCGTGCCAGGACCTTGTAGATAATTCATTCAAGTTTCTGAAACCCACCGTCGATTTTCTGTGCAACCATTGGTTTCTGAGATATCGATGAACAAAGAGAAAATTATCCATTTTCATTCAAAGTCCGATAATTCAGGGAGAAATGGTCGTATCGAGACCAAAAAAAAAAAGAAATGGAATAGAATGAACAACCTATCTAATCCATAAGGTGGTTAAGTTGGAAAAAATTTTTCCAAGTCCGTACACCAAAAATAAGATCGAAAAAAATTTCGAAAAATTTTTTTTCATGATATTAAGATTGCGCGATACGTGTTATTTGAAAATTTTTTTTTTGCAAGATTCAAAAATTAGAAACTTCAAGCTTCAAATTGCTTTTTTTTTTACTCCAATACGACCATTTTTATCAAAGATACAGCCATTTGAAAAATCGCCGAAAATTTTTATCCCTTAATTTTTTCCATTAGTGTATAAAAAATACTAATAATCTCTTTGTGCTTATGGCATATCATCTAACCATTTTCCCGATACTATCAGAGATACGTCTATGAAACTTTAAGTTAGTTATTCAAAAAAATATTGGATGTCCCTTAAAAAAAAACATATTTGGTATTTAAAAAGTTTCCCTCAGCTTTATTCTTACAAATAGAATGTCTAATGCATTCAAGAAAGACGTTTTAATACGGCTCGTAGTAATATAACAACGCGCGTGCGGCCAACGTAATAATTAGTTCGGTGAATACGTGACGCTGTAATTGGTACCACCCGATCCTGATGGATACGTACGGAGTAACGTGTTAATCTTTCACCTTGTTTACCACATTACGGCGCTAACTAGCAGTTCGGCACCGCCGCTTGTAATTTCCTACGATTGATTGCAGGCGCGAAGAAAAAAAAACGTTTGCAGCTCATTTCGTTTCATTAAAACGTAACGGGACCCCGATAACGCTCTTTATACTACAAAGCGATTAGGTTTTAATTCGGTAATTTATTTGCCGGGGTCAGACTCGTGCGGGGTAGGCGAGGCGCGAAAAATGGGGTAGGTACAGGGTGTAACTTCCCTTCCCTTCGAATTTCAAATACTTTCTTATATGGGGAGTTTTGGAAAAAGATGTCATAAAAGCAGGGGATGGTGGAACATAAAAAAAATAAGTCATTTCCTAAGGGCCAATGGCCTATCGTCTGATTTTGAAAGATGGAGTGACAAATACGGTTTTTTAAATCAAATTTTTGCCATTCCTTTTCCAAAAAACAATGTAACGAGTTGAAATTTGGTACAGGTGCGTTTTCAAAGGAAGTTAAATGCGACAGCTATCTGCTAGAGGTCGCAAGCTACGATCTTACGTATTGACATTATATGACAGCTTTTTTGAGGTTAAGTAACATAAAATTTCATTTTACATTTTCGTTAAAATTGCTGAAAACACACAGAATTTGAGAAAAACGCTATCGACTGTCCCAAAGTCAATTGACTCCTACTTTGTAATATACAGGGTATTCGAAATAGAATGAGTCATACTTTAAGGATGGTCTCTTTGGATCAAAACACGCCGATTTAAATTAAGTTTGTAAGTGTCCAATTAAATGGCCCTTTAAATCGCAATTTTGGTCATTCCGACTGAATTTTTGATATAAATTAATTAGAGGTATATAATAACAATAAATGACAGTAATTTTTATTTCAACCCCCGACCAGGGGCGAAAAAAGATAAAATAAAGCGGCTTTTCAAGTTAACTCAAAAGAGGTAAGAGCTAGAAAAAAAATCTTGTAAATGTTGTAGAGCATAAAATTCTACATAAAAATGGTCTACTGACTCTTTCTTGTACTATTAAAATTAACAGAGTTAGGGAGGCTAGAAGTTAAGGGATGGTTTCAGAAATTTAAAAAAGCACAAGCAGAAAAATGAATGAATTTTATAATTTTTTTTTCAATCTACCCTAAAATATATAAACTATCTTTTGAGAGAAATAGATATAATTTTTAATTTTTAACAAAAAAGTTATAAAAAATTTTATTTTTTAATCATTAATGTATATGTTTTAACACTTAAACAATATTTTTCTATGCCATTCCATTGATTATTTAAGAAATTTTGTTTTACGACACAATACAAAAAAAATCACGTTCGCTTTGTGAAATTGTTATGACTTTTTTATTAAAAATTAAAAAAATATCTATTTCACTGAAAATATAGTTTACATTTTTTAGAGTAGATTGAAAAAAAAAATTATAAAATTCATTGATTTTTCTGTTTGTTAAGATTTTTTTAAATTTCTGAAATCATCCCTTAACTTCTAGTCTCCCGTGTTAATTTTAATAGTACAAGAAAAATTTAATGGATAATTTTTATGTAGAATTTTATGTTCTACAACTTTTATAAGAATTTTTTTTTCTAGCTCTTACCCTTTTCGAGTTATCTTGGAAAACCGCTTTATTTGTATCTTTTTTTCACCCCTGTTCGGGGGTTGAACAAAAAATTACTATCACTTATTGTTATTATATACCAGTATTTTTTCCCTCGACAAAATGGTAAACGTAAAAAAAGATGAGGGTATACAATGTCCTGAAGATGGTACAAAACAACACCGAAACGTTGACAAAAAATTAAAAATTGTGTTTTTAAAATGTAATTAATCTTAATCTTACTAAAGCTTACGTTGATTACTAACCATAATCGTCACTAAAAAATTTAAAAAATTGGGTAGTTTCCGCAAAATATACAGGATGTCCCAGAATATGTGGGCAATCTCTCGGATTTATACAGGGGACGTTAAAATAACATGACAAGTCCATATAAAAATTTACGCAGGCCCCTAAAGACGCCCTTGAAAGTAGATTATTTTTTAATAACTATCAAAATCCTTTGTGTAATTTAATTATTTTTTAATACGATGAACAAGAGATAAGACTCCTTAAAAATTGACCCACAAAACAATTTACCTTATTAGGTTTGTCAGGGACGAACTAGCTATAGCACAATACTGTCAATTTTTTACACTGTTTACGATAAATGTATAAAAATAATATTTTTAAATAGCTTGAACCTTAAACTAAAAAAGCACGCTTGGTTGATATCGAAAATGAACTGTTTTCGATAAAAAACTATTTTTGTTTAAAATATAATTTTTAGATAGAAATAAATCGATGAAATTTGCATACTTTCTATCTAAAAAAATGCCACATATATTTATATTTGTTTTTCCTAAGAATAATTAAATTACACAAAATATTTTAAAACTTATTTAAAAAAAAATCGATTTTCAGGGGCGTAGTAATTTGTCATGTTATTTTAACGTCCCCTATATAAATCCGAGAGATTGCCCACGTATTCTGGGACACCCTGTATATTATTTAATATTTTTTGTACGATTTGTTTGCGTACGTTTGCGCGCGAAACAGATATTGCACATCATATACACTTCGGTTGCTTTTGCGTTTACATATGTTTAATGATAATTTTTTTTACAGAGACATCGACGTGGACGCCTCGCGTCTGGCCTCTCTCATTTGGCTAGCGCCGAGAGTAGAACGCTGGGTCATCGGCAACCTTCGACACATCGCCGTGCCGGTGTTGGAGAAACACATCACGGAGGCCTTCAACTATGCCATCGGAAAAACGGACTGCGTATCACTACTTATTAACTACTGATAATTTGAAAGATATTCTAATATTATATATTTTGTTGAAAAATACAAGTGTTTGATAAATAAATGTTATTTGTTGCGAAAGGTCTCTTACGTAATGCCCTTTAAAAAGTCTGAGGTAAAAGAACACTCAAAATTAACACTTTTTAAATGTGGGAACCTTTAACGGTTAACACAGAACATTTGGCAACGTAGGCTTTACAGATTATTTGAACTACTACCGTGACGGTAGTAGTTCAAAGGATCAGTAGGTCACTGCTATTATTATAACCTCTAAAATAGTTGAGGGAAAATAACAGGTAATAAGCAAAACTGCAAAAGTATATTATTGGTTATTGAAAAATACGAATCACATAATTTTAACATATTCAGACTTTGATAGATGAAAAGTTGGAAACGAGCCCATTACAGTTTGTGTAAGCAGCAGTAGACATTATTAAAGAAAAGCTCGGAATAAAAATTTACGCGCACTCACAATTGACAACTGGGCTATGCATTGTTACCAAATCTCATAATTTAAAGAAAATATTATTCACCCGCTGTGAGGTACTCTTTGGGATAATCCATCTGATATCGTGTTCTTGCAACAGAATCGTTTCCTCCGGACAGAAAGTAGGCTCTAATCATATCAGCTTTTTCTTGATGCATTTTCATATAAAAAATAAAACAATACGATGTGCCGTCACTAAACACTGAAATAAATACCTTTATAAGGTTATACACATACACCACGCAAAAGGTATTATACGAACAGTTTTTCAAAAAACGATATAATCGAATGTGAGAGACGATATATTTTAGCAATCCCGTTCCGCCGAATTAACGTGACAGTTTGTTTTTAACACGCGTTTACTCGTCATATCAGAACACCTGCAACATCGGCATGTTAAAAGAGCAGCGGAGGCTATCCTCCGTTGACCCCACCTTCGTAAGCGTATTTCTTACATACGCGTCACCCGTAGTAGTAACAGTAAACTAGGGCAGTGTTACAGATCATTGACATTGACGTTCAAAAGTAAAATATGCGATGCTTAAAAAATAGTAACAAATAAATCTTACATTAGTAAAAACGATTAAAAAAAATGTTTACATATCGATCAGATTAGTATTTTCATTTATTTTTTATTTTCTTTTAAACAGCAAAAATTATTATTTTAAAACAAATTAGCTTTATGTACAATTAGTAACGTATCTACTACATACTATTTATTTGTTAATACGTTATAAATCATGTAAAAATTAAAAAAAATTAAAAAAAAATTTTTAGTTTGGCGTTTTGTCCACATTGACAAAAAATATGATGAATAAAATAACACGTCGTTGTCATAGAAAAGCAATCTGTTTTCATTAAAATATATTTCATTAGTTTCGCTATGTAGCAGCCAATTAAAAAAAAATATTTACAGTTACTAACGTATCTACATACCAATATTGGTTAATACGTAATAAATCATGTAAATCTTTAATAGATTTTTGTTACAAGTTCGACTCTTCTCCCACAATGAAACCAAAAAAAAAAAAAAATGTGGATGACTAAAATAACAAGTCCATAAATTATACAATAACAATCTGATTTGCTAAAGAAAATTCAAAATATTTGGAATTATTCAATTTTACTGGGTAAAAACATATTTATAGGTTAGGGTGGCCCAAAAAATAACGAATATTTTTTTCGTGTCTTGTGAAAATATGTTAGTTTATCATGTTTTAAGAGTCCCCTCAAAAAATCAGCTCAAACAAAATTTTTTTAGAGGTCACTCAAGATTTTTTAAAATTTCCAAAATCGTCAAAAATTGAACTTTTTTCTTTTTTAATTTTTTTCTCGTTATTTTATCATTTTCTGGGTTAAAAAAATCTCTATTCTGAAAATTTCAAATCGATATTTTTTTTTGGGCTGATTTTTTGAAGGGGCTCTTAAAACATAATAAACTAACATATTTTCACAAGAGACACGAAAAAAATATTCTTTTTATTTTGGGCCATCCTAATATAGGTATTGAATTTTCGAAACCGAGAGTTGCACTAACCAAATTTGGACAGGACATAACTACAATATCGCCTTGATGTCAAAAATAATGTCACAGCCGTTTTTGGTGGTGAAAATTCAAAATATTTGGAATTATTCAATTTATCTGGGTAAAAACACACATAGGTATGGAATTTTCGAAACCGAATTTAGACAGGATATCGCTTTGCTGTCAAAAATGATATCATTGTGATAGAAGAGCTGAACTTATTAAATATCAATCAATATTGGTAGATACGTTACTAATTGTAAATAATTTTTTTTAATAAACTGCTACACAGCGAAATCAATGAAAAATAATTTCTTTTCTAAGACAAGTTTTTTTAGTCACCATATTTTTTATGTCAATGTGGACAAAGCACTAAAGATTAAAAATATTGTTTTTAATATTTTTTTTTATTTTCATATGATTTATTACGTCTTAACTAATATTGGTACGTTACTAATTGTAAATAAAACTTATTTGTGTTTTAAAATAATTATTTTTGTTGTTTTCAAAACAGTAAAAAATAAATGAAAATACAAATCTTATTGATATGAAAACATTTTTTTTTAATCGTTTCAAGTTTTTACAAACATTTATGTGTTAATGTTTTTAAGCATCGCATATTTTACTTTTGAATGTCAGTGTCAATGACCTGCAACACTGACCTAGTTTACTGTTACTACGTACAGGTGACGCGCATGTAAGAAATACGCTTACGAAGGGGGAGGGGGGGTGGCGACGGAGGATAGCCTCCGCTACTCTGCTGACATGCCGATGTTGCAGGTGTTATGATATTACGAGTAAACGCATTAAAAACAACACATTAATATCAAATATATCGTCTCTCACATTCTTATTTACTATTCGACTATATCGTTTTGTAAAAAGCTGTTCGTATAATACCTCTGTGTGGTGTAAGTCTATAACCTTATAAAGGTATTTATTTCAGTGTTTAGTGACGGTATCAATTGTATTGTGTTTTCTTTTTCAAGCTTTTAAGTGAATTTATGAAAATTCATCAAGAAAGAGCTGATATGATTAGAGCCTACTTTGTGCCCAAAGAAAACGATTCTACTGCAAAAACACGATGTCGGGTGGATTATCCCAAAGAGTAGTACCTTACGGCGGGTGATGTGAAATTTGCTTTTTAATAATATTTTCTTTAAATTATGAGACTTGACAACAATGCATAGCCCAGTTGTCAATTGTGCATGCGTTGTGACTGACACGCGCGGTTGTTTGAGAACACACTAGCTTATCCAGAGGCGGGGTAGGAAAATTATTAAAAAATTTGAAAAAATAAACTATTGATACGTGTTTCTAAAGGTCAAAGGTAGCCTCTGTGAAAATATGACCCACAACACACAAGAAACATCATTTATCGATCTTTGTTAGTGTCTTTTTGCGCGTTGGATATTGCTCGTCGAACTACTGTTAAAAATATGCAACGCTGATTATCACTAATTAATATTACAGACATAACTAACACTAATGTTGAGAACGGTGCAGTTTATTTTCATATAAACCTCTGGAGCCCTGGCATTTCCGTGAAGGCTCCCTTCGAAAAAAAATTTGTAACCGCGTCGGTTGGGACGACCGACGTCGACGACATAAAACAATAACCTTCCTTTCTCCTACCCTCCGGCGATCCTTCGTCGGTTGTTGCTCCCATCGGGGAGCACAATGTTTGCCGTTAGAAATAAACGAAACATAGGTATGAATATTTCAATGGCTCGGCTTACGCGCGAGATTTATTAGCCCTGTTGGGAGTCCTGCAGCTATGGCTGGTTTTTTATGACATCCGAGCCATAAAGCCACTACGACGCTGTTATTAACCGGCCAACTCGATACAGGGTAAGTATAATGAAACGTCAAAAACGCAGGTGTATTCTCTCAATGCACACAAATGCCCACAAATCCTTTTAAAGGATGTTTCTTTAATATTGCGAATTTAAAGAGAGATTTCTTGCCAAAAAGTAAGGAGGACAACAAAAATTTAACTCATTTTTTCGTTAAAATGATCTAAGATATGACCTTTTCAAGTTATGACGGACTACATCAATATTTTCTTTAATGTCACTTGAAAGTCCGATACAGGACAAATTAAGATTTTTTTTAAGATTATACATAAAGTAATATTATAGTCGCCACTTACATGTTTTGCTCAGATTACTGCTGCTTCTCTCCTTATTCAACTGCAGGGTCAGAGCCCATTGCAATGCTTCACCTCACTCTACCTGCAAAAAATTATTCCTTAGATATATTTGTTTAAATAATTACCTGTAACGAACCAGTTAGATACAAAAACAAGTACGAATAATACTCATAGACTTTTAAACGCGTTTTCAACTCTCAACACATGGATATTAACTCTCAGATCTCAGGTCTCAGTTCTCAGATCTCAACCGTCTGATCTCACATCTCTACTGTCAAATCCTACTTCTTAACTATCAATATTCAGCTCTCAAATCTCATATTAGCCCAGTAGCTGAAAATATAGTAATACCTCCGACTTTTTTATAACTGTATCGATTTTTCTCAAAATTTAGAATTAGGCTCATCTTACCCCCCACTTCAAAACATATATGCGCTGGGTGTGCTTTTTGTTCTTAAGGGGTGAAAACCTTATTAAAAACCTTAAAACTTATTGGAAAAAAAAGAAAAAATACAAATTTAAGCGTTTTATGTAAACAAATCTTTTTTATTTATGCAGTATGAGTAATTTCATGTGCTATCTAACATGAAACTTAATGTATCCAAAATTTTCAACCCGGAAAAACCTTTAACAACCACCCCTTTGGATGAAAACATTTTTTTTCAACTTGAAACGTTTTAGTTATGCATTTTTATCAAATTAAAATTGATTTCTTGATTAAAAAATCTTTTTTATCGATTGCAACTTTTCAACCCTACAAAAATACCCCTTCTTTCAAAAATAACGTGAAAAAATATTATTGAAAGAATAGAAACATTTTAAGTGTGCATTCGTATTAAATAAACATTTTTTCCCTTCTTATAAAATAATTTCGAATTGATTGCAACTTTTCAACCCTTATTAATTAATACTTTAAATAACTAGATAAATTTCACAGGGTCTAACGACACTTAGAGTGTACGATAGTTCAATAAACAAATAAATCTAAATAAAAAAATTAGATAAATTTGGAACGAATACACTGAAGATGAATTTTTCGAGGCAAAACGTCTGAATCTGGTTCGAGCTGAGGCAGTACAGTATTGGGAGTCATGAAGGCTTGCAAAAAATGTTATAAAATTTACAGGGTCGTATTTAAAAAAATGAAGTTGATGATGGTCCTGGAGAGACGAAATGTTACATATAAAAATTGATTATGCCATTCGATAGAGGGCAAAAACTGTTTTCCAAAATTTCGTTTTTTTTTTCAAATATTTCGAAAACTAATCATGTTAGCCTTGATTTTTTATAGACATAATGTTTGTCCCCTGATTACGCAACTTTGCCCCCATTTAAGCTAGTTCGTATCTCTTACCGTTTTCAAGATCCCTGTAGTAAGAAGCGAATTTGTAAAAGCCTGTATATGTTTGTGTGTGTGTGAGGGTGTGTGAGGGTGTGTACATGTGCGTAGTATAGTATGTATTATAATATAGTACTGGTTTACTCGAATATACACATACTAAATACGTATACATGCAAAAAAATCTAAATGCCTCAAAATTCTTGTTTGACCTAAATTTTCTTAAAATTATCACCTATACACGTGTTTATTTTTTTGGCGATAACTTTCTTACTTTTTAAGATTTTTAATCGCACAAAGGCTCATTTGGCAGGGAAATGTAAGAGCTACGTGAACTGTCGAGTTGATCTTTTTTAAGCCCTTCATTTTTAAGTTTGAAGGGTTTAAAGGGCTAGAAAAAGGTGGTTCTCTCATTCATATGATAACTTAAAATGGCGATATCTCGATTAATATTAATTTTAGAGGAATAAAAAAAATTAAGTAAAACAGCAAAAATAAAGCTAAATTTTTTTACTCTTGTATTTTTTTCGTACACCCCTAATTTTTAAGTTACAGCATATAAATCGATTTTTTTTCAAAAATTTGAAAAATTAACATTTTCAAAAATTAAGTTTTTTTTCGAAATCATGCTTTGTAAGTGAGCCAAAGACCCAGAACATGTTATTTCGATCATATTTCCGTTAATTTTGATTCTAAAGACTTTTAAAACTGCTCATTTTAAAGTTTTTTCAAAGTACTTTAAAAAAGTAGATACAAGTAGTTTTTTTCCTAATATTTATGGTTTTGATGTTATTTAACGTTAACTGGTTCCAATTTAGTTTTTAGCTAACATATAATGTTTAAGAATCCATAACTCGGTTCATATTGCAATTAGAATTAGAAAGAACAAAATTTTATTACCTTTCTTTTTGTCCATTACAACTTTTTCGTTAAATCCAATGGTTTCAAAGTTATTTGCAAAAAACTCTCCGAAAACAAGCACTTTTTCAGTAAAAAATCAACAGTTTCAATGACGAATTACCCGGAAAGTATTGGATTATCCAAAAAACTTTATATAACATTTGTTACTTAAAATTAACTCCTCTATCGATTCCTGTGATTATTTTGGGCGTAAAAATTTCCACCCCCAAGAAGGGGTGGGAACCACCCCCGGGGCAAAACCACACTTCGGCACTATATAAGTTTTGTTCCTGGAGGCATTCCCCACATTCAGTCAAAATTTCACGTCAATCGGTTCAGTTATAAAGAATTCGGAGGTAAAAACCTTGAGTAACTGGACTATATCTTAATTCTCAAATTTTTATTCCAAGGTCTCAACTTTCACAGCCAGATCTCACCAAAGACATTTCAAATCTCAAATGTCATTTGGATATAATCTTAACTCTCAGGTGTTAGATCTCGACTCAACACTCAGATCCAGCTCTATATCTGAAACACTGACAACTGATATCTGAGAGTTGAGATTAGAGAATTGGGAGTTGACCATCTCACCTATCGTAATTGCCATCTACCCAAATGAAAAAATATTTAATCTGCCATAAAATCATCTAAATTATCGCAAAATCTGCTAACATATCGTAAACTCGTTTGATCAACACGGACTATCACTGACCATCCTCAACCATTACCGATCGATAACTACTATTCTCGACTGACACCGTCACCGACCGTCATCTATCATCCTAGATCATCATCGCTAAATATCGACCATCACAGACCGTTACCGACTATCTCCCATCATCGTTGATCATCGTCAACCATCTTTGACAATCACCGTCTGTACTCGACCATCATCGACCATCACCCAACATCTTCGACCTTTGTTTTTTTTTGTTTTAGTAACATCATAATACTACAGTGCCATTTGATGCACAAAGACCATTAAATAACCGTCTTGTACAAAAAAAAGGACCACAGAAGCGAATTATTAAAAACATCCAGTATAGGTACAACAAAAAGTGTAGCGATCAAATATGTCGACTGAGTATTATCACGGGAACGGCTCTATTTTTAAATTACAGTAGACTCCCTGTTGAGTACCAAATGTACGAACAAATACGGTACCTATTTGTGTTGCCCGATAAAAATCTATTTTCATGATCCATTTGCGTTTCTGGGCCAAACATTAAAACCCTGCATGTAGGAACGAAATCGATATTTTAAAATAGACGTAGGTACATCAAAATATTAATAATTCAGGGAATGTAACGGAATAGTTACGAGTTAACGACAAAATGAATTTTTAACTTTATTGCTTTGTATCATGGTCCTACAGGGAGTTCGAATTCACTTACGTTTGATGGAGCCATCATTTAAAACAAAAAAATCCTACCAACCCTTAATTTTTATTGATATTTATTATATTTTATTTCCGAGAAAAAAATGATCAAAGTCTCCAACTTGATATGTACAAAAGTTCGATTAATTAAGGAATATTGACATAGCTGCGTGCATAGAATACAATAAAATACAATGTTTATCACTTTTTTAAACTTCTTTATGCTTAATTCTAAAAAATAAATTAGCGTTGTTCATATCGAGCAATGTGACAGCGGCGTGGCGGTTTATTAACACGAGGTACTAAGGTGTCCAGCCACCACCAATACGCAATTCAGTTGGTATCTGGATTCGACAGTGTCGGAGTGTTTTTTGCGTACCATTATTTCCTTTTCTTGAGGTGTTTTCCAGCGGGTGCGCGAAAATTAGAATCGAAGGTGTTTGGCATGCATCGAAAATGGTGGTGGACAGTTTGAGCATATGTTGTAGTTTGTTTTGTACTCGTGCCTTTAAAAATTACCGAATTTTGCTTTTTGGTAAGTACCTAAATTATTTTTAATATGTATGATTATTTTGGACAACGTGAATCTTTGGGTACTTTAATTAGGTACATATTTTTCAAATTCATAATTTGATTAAAAGTTAAGTTCCTGTTTTAAAAGATTCATAATTACTAAAATTCGAGTTAAAATTTAAGCACGACACTATCTTCGTACTACAAAATCCATACATTTTATTTTATTTATTTAAAAATTGGAAAACAATTGCCATGGAATTTACTAAATGTTTCACAATAATAGTAGTTTACATTTTTTCCATAGGACAAGTCTGCCGCGTGTACACGTAGTGTGCATCAGCAGGTTAAGCGCTATTGACACGTTGTGATGAAACTCCCCAATATTAATACTCGCTGTATTTTGAAAACTGTTAATCTTACGCCACTGTAATATACAACTGTTTTGTTCATTTATAATTACTCTATCTCTATCTCATGCTGAAGTAATGTCAGTTAAACTTCTTACACCCTGTACTTTTTCTAATTGTTAAGGATAGCCTCTGAATAAACATGACCCCCATTAGTAGGAACGGACGAATAAATCTTCCGGTTTTCTAAAACGCGATGCAACTATTCAGCCAAACATTGAAAATTCACGCAGAAATAAAGTTTAAACGGGATTTATGCAAATTATAAGTAGAACGGAAGGTTAGATAGACTGACCGGGAGCCTATATTTGGAAAGGATATGCCTAGTCGAATAAATCGCCAAGGACACAATCAGGAAGAATCCATCTTAATGCGATTGTTTCGGCAAATGGGATTAAACATCGCCAGGAATAGAGTTGCAGTTGATTAAATAAAAAGTAAAACTGGCTCTAAGGAAGCTATACGAAGAATAAAAGGTTCATTCAAGAAGAAGTCTGTCTTACGGATGTATAAGGAAATAAATACTCGCGATAATGACAAAT